AAAGACTGACGCCGAGATGCATCCTTCGCTGCAGCGAGCCTGCCCAGGCTTTATCGATAGGCGGCAATTGTATAGAAAACAATTTAGATCATAAGTGTCATCATGAGAAAAGTTATCGTTTATGTCGTTGCAGCACTCTTTATAATGCAGCCTAAAGATTGCGATGCATTGCAACGTTGCTAATTATGCTAGTGCGCATAATGATATAAAATAAAAAGATTAATTTTAACCTACGAATTGCGCGCGTTTATTTTCATACTTGTTATTCATTCTTTTTTCTTACAATGGATAGGTCATATGGCATAGGATAAGTCGGATGGGAAGTAAAGAAAGTACATATATAATGATGTGAACGACAAAATTTTTTATTCACATATTAATACATTCGGTTTTTTTTCGTACGTATAAAAAACTAAAGTCAATAGCTCATAATCGACGAGCTAATGTTCATTGAAAATATCGCTATCACGTATAGCGTCTTCGGACGCGATGTTGGAGAATCGCGTAAATTTGACATCGACCGTATCGACGAGTCGGACTAATCGTTCGAACGTCACATCGATACATCCGTCAAACGCAAACATTTGGCGTAGCATCATCGTCATGCGTACGGATGAAGAATCCAGACGTAAGAACATAACATCGTTCAGCGTGCAAACTTTAACGGTTAGCGGTCCAACGCTTATAAAATTGTCCTTGTATTCGTTTCGCAACATCTTGTAAATATTCCATCGCTGCTCGTAGAGGCCCTTCCTTTTCGAGAGACAGCGACAATTCGTGTCCGCGATGATCTCCCAGGGCGATCTCCACATAACTCGGTGGACCAACGCCGATTCCAATTTCCAAATACTTGTAGCCAGTAGCCGTCAGACATAACGTCTGCTCAGTAAACGCACCGCGCGATGCTCCATGCTGTGTACGTACGTAATGTTAAAAAACGTTTCTTTTTTGCATATAGAACGTTAAAACTTACACGTTACTGCAGTCCTTCTTCGTTTCGTATGATGTGTTACTCTCTTTGGCGAAGTACATTTTCAACCAAGGTCAAAGGTAACGAATAGTTAACGATTCCATGTCTTCGTACACTACGTCCAAGGTCTCAATGTGTATGCGTTCTCGTTCATTGTCCAGAAGCAAGTTCCATAGCCACGTTCATTTATCGCGTCCCGACGTACACGATAACATCATCTTCAAATGAAGCGGCCGTGATTAGGCGTTCCGCCTCGCTGTACACAGAAATTAAAGCATTCGGCGCAGTAGTCTGCGCGTCCCAGCCGGCATTCCGCATGATCACGCTTCTGTTGGACGACACTGGTACATAGTTTTTGAGCGTGCTAGTTATGCCAACGTTTCTGTTACGGTCAATCTCCACACCGTTGAGTTCATTTCGAATCTTATCGAACATGAACGCGATGCAATTATTTCCCAATGCCACGTTAGCACCCTCAACCACTCTGTTCTTCAGTTTTCCTCGACGTATAGAAAGCTTTCGTATGGCAGTATATCTGAACGTATAATATAAATTCTCACTTCTTCATGGTAAAACAGTCAGAACTCAATCCTCTTATTCAATTGGCAATGGTTGACCATTCCAGTGGCAAAGAATAACAGATAAAAACTGTGTAGATATCGAAATCGTTACCAGTTAATATTCAAAAAAAAAATTCAAAGAAAGATTAATGCACTCACCCATATAGCCATGAAAGACATGAACATCAAGATTCACTTAAATCGAGAGACAAACAGATCCGCAAATTATTCATGTTTAGCGAAACGAATATTGTGACGGTCAACGTTCAAATGAGTTAAACATAATACACAGTGTACAAAACTAATAAGCAAAAACAGACGATATTACCAACATATGTCAGACTGTTACTTAAATGATAAACAAAGACGGCGCGCAGTTTAAATTATTGTAAAGTATTAAGAATCGAGATGTATGAATGGTGTAAAAATTCAGTATTTGATTGCAAATTAAGGCTGTTTTTTTGCAACTGAATATGTTGCATTTCCGAAATAAGTCGTTTATTCAAAAACCGCTTCTGATCAACAATTTCTGTGCCTTCCCAATCAAAATCATGATTCAGATCCAATCTGTGTTTAGTGATAACAGAATGATTATTTATATTCCTTCGGATGTCATTACAATGTTCAGAGATTCTCGTTTTTAAAGTCCTTTTTGTCTGCCCGACATAGGACGCATCGCAATCCTTGCAAAATATCTTGTAAACAACTTGTTCTTTCTTGTTTTATTAGATAAAATCTTTGTGTTTTTATAAAAGAATTGAGCTTATTGAAACTAAAAAATGCAAGGTCAACATAAAGATCTTTAATTATGTCTTTGAATTTGTATGAAATATCCCCGAAACAAATGGGATTGTAAACCATGATTTCTTAACAGTGTCTTCCTCGGAAGCATCACTCATGTTTTACTTTAAGGTTTTTTTACTCACTAAAAATTTTAAGCGCTCATTAATTGTGTTAAAAATAAAATCAATCGGGGGGGGGGGGGAGGATAGTTATTATTTAGAAGTGTCTCGATGACAAAAGTCAAGTTCTTTTTATGATATTTAGGTTGAGATAACAAAAAGGCCCTATCAATCATTCCTATGATCGTACTTCTCTTCTGTAAGATAGGATGCTGAGAAAAGAAATTCAAATACCTACCGGAGAAAGTAGGCTTCTGGTACCAATCATAATCAAGAATATTGTTATTGTTAGAAATGGTAATGTAGATCGATGGAGTAACGCCATCTATGGTGATCGAGCTATATTTCTTTTTCCTTTTTTGGCGCGCGACCCCCTACGTTTTTTTTTGTTGTTGTACGTCGATTAGAGCACGAGGATTTTGTGATGAATATAATAAAGTGAGCTTATCATTACAAGAGATACGTGTTCTAGAGTGTCTATTCCCATCTTTCCTTATCTTATGTTACAATTAGTGGCGACCGAGTGACAGTACTATCTAGTTTTGACATATTCGCATAGAAACAATCAGCGAGATGGAAAAGATGAAAAAAGTACTATCATTCGTTCAGCATTTACGCGTAATCTGAATTCGTTACATGCGGAAATGGAAGAGGAAAGTCCAAATTCCATGGAATTACAAGTACGTCTCTCGATGGTAAGAGAAAAAGCGAGTCAACTCGAAGAAATAAATCAGAAGATTTTCGAGGTTATGATCGAGAGCGAGATGGACGAACAAGACCTGATACAAGAGACGAACGCAGCCGACGAATACCAGAGGAAATACCAGCAAGCAAAGATCGCAGTAAGCAATATTTTAGAAAAGGCTCAGTCGACAGTTACATCGGAAGACGGGCAAGTAACACAAGTTTCTAGAGATAATAAACGCACGTATAAATCGTCTAAAATTCAACTGCCACAATTCATTGGAGATCTTAAGGATTGGTTACAGTTTTGGAGTCCATTCACGAGGACATGAACATAACCAAAGAAGACAAGTTCCAATATTTGATTCAAGCAATGGTAAAAGACTCTCGAGCAAGCGTATTAGTAAACAGTTTTCCACCGACAGCAGCAAACTACGACGAGACTATAACGAGCTTAAAATCACGTTACGGCAGAGAAAATTTACTTGTGGAAGTCTACGTTCGAGAAATGCTCAAGTTAGTATTAAATCAGTCAGGTAAATCGAGTCATACTACCTTATCTAGCATATACGATAAACTTGAAACGCAACTTAAAGCACTAGAATCATTAGGAGTCACAACGGACATGTGCGCAGCAATCCTGTATCCACTGGTTGAATCGTCATTACTGGAAGATTTATTAAGTGTATGGCAGCGTAACACAAAAGCAATCAATGCTATCACATCAAAGAGACGGTTAGAAGAATTGATGTCCTTTCTACATACAGAAATAATGAGTGAAGATAGAATCGCTATGGCAATGAGTGGTTTTGGTATAGCCAATGAAACAACCAATCAGGACAAATCTAAGAAAAAGTCAAGACCGGAATCAAAAGAGATCGCTACTGCTGCAGGACTAATTGCAACAAAATAAGACAAGACACCTCATTGTATATTTTGCGAACAAGAACATAAGAGTACTTTATGTGTCAAAGCCAAGAAAATGTCATATGAAGATAGATCCAAGATCGTCAAGGAAAAAGGCGCTTGCTTTTACTGCATCAAGACGGGGCATAGTTTTAGACACTGCCGATATAAAGGAAAATGTGCATGGTGCGGCAAGAAGCATGTACTGATTATGTGTCGTAGTACAACATCGAGCACTCCCGCCGAAAATAAGCAAACGAAAGAGTCTACCAATGCACAGGAACAGCCGACTCTCGCTAGCATTTCGTCCACAAGTGAAGTATTTTGCAGACACTTCGTGTCAAGTTATTTTGTCAAGGAAAGGAACAGGTGGTTAGAGCAGTTTTTGACACCGGCTCGCACAGATCATATATTGTCGATCATTATGCTGAAAAAATGAAATTCGAAGTCGTAGGAGAGCAACTCATCGTACACATGTTATTCGGAGGTTCGAGATCCAGACCATTATCACACAGAGAATATCGAGTTCATATTAAAAGTATGGATGGATCATACTCCTGTGATTTTATTGCATTAAAATAGAAATCGATATGCGAAAGAGTACCTTCAGTTAAGAGAGGACCATGGTTACAGCAAGAGGGAATCAAACTTACAGATGTCGACACAAGAAATGATACAATTGTTATATTAATAGGAGCGAATATTGCGGGAAAATTGTTAACAGGTAAAAGAAAGAAACTCAAGAGCGGAGCAATAGCTTTCGAAACATTGCTTGGATGGACGTTGATGGGAAAGGTGGACACCCAAACAGATCGTAAAGAAGACACGACACTTATGGTCGTATTCATGTTCACTGGAACAGAAAACATTGCCGATCTATGGAAATTGGATACATTGGGCATTACCGATCCCGTTGAGTGAAAATCAGAAAACGCCCGTCAAAAGGATGTCAAAGAAAACTTTTGGCAAACAATCAAAATGGATGAAGAAGATCGTTATGAAGTACTACTTCCCTGGAAACAGGATCATTCACCTTTAGAGGACAACAAGAACTTAGCGGTGAAACGACTTGCATCTACTACTAAGAGACTTAAGGCACAAGGCTTATATGACGCATATCAGGAAACACTGGATAACTGGTTAGCGGAAGGCATTATAGAAAAAGTAGCGCAGGAAGAGTTGAGAAGAGAAGCACACTACTTACCACACCGAGGCGTCATCAAAGAGAATAGTACCACGAAACTGAGACTGGTATTTGATGCATCAGCAACAAGAGAAAATTCACCGTCACTCAATCATTGTTTAGAAAAAGGTCCCAATCTAATAGAATTAATCCCGAATATCTTATTACGTTTTAGACGACACGAGATCGGGATAACGTCAGATATTCGGGGAGCTTTTCTTCAAATAAGTGTTGCAGCGATATAGATGTTGTTTCGTGGTCGCCTTTTTCTTGAATCGGAGTTCACGCGTACAGACTATTTGAACGAATCCGCAAATGAGCGGCCATGATGGAATGGCGCCTTGGTGGCGCTGTGGACGCCTCTGAGGAGCCACCTTGTCGTACCTCGATTGTGTTCGGTTCCGGTCCTCTCAGTTCTTTGTTCTAGTTAACCGGTACTGTTGCTGAGTGCGAGTCTTGAGAGAGTTGCAAGCGCTATTGCACTATCGTAAGGTCGTCCTTTGGAAAGTTGCTAATCTTTAAGGAGATGCTAAACCGATTATCCAACTCAATCAAGGTCGATAGTACAGACTTTTTTAATTCTAAATTCGATAATAGTGGTGACATCTTTGATTTAGTTTTTACATTATATTATATAATATATATCATTCTGTCTTACTCAAACGCATACATCTGTTCTTATTTAACATATGCCA